AACCAGGAAATGGTGTGAATGGACTAGTCTTGGGCCTGCATGTGCCTGAGAAAGCACCAATCAGGCTATTAATGCTTCGAAGGGTAGAAATCACATGTGGTGGAAGAGATGGGTCAGCCAGGAGGTCTGTTAGCAGGTTCCGAGCCTCATTTAGGACTGAGAGATCAACTCCATTTCCACTGCCAGCATTCTGGAATAGATGGAAATGCTGCAAACTATTAACATGTCAAAAGATTTCACAGTATTCTAAGTTTTAAATAAGTATCTTATCCATTGCAAATTTAAAAAATAAATTTCATACATCAATGCAACATTTTTTTCTTTCAAATAATATATATATATGTAGACATTCAGACATCAATTTTTGCAGGTTTTTTCATACAATAAAAAATATTTCAGAATTCAACAGTGGCTTTCAGGGGTTTTTTTCTCTACTTAAAATCTGTTGGAAACTTTTTATCTCTATTTTCATTACTTTGCCTTAGAATTCTATCTCTTCTAATAATATCAACAAATTTTGGCAGCCAAACTGATAGAGACCCTTACAGAGGTATAATTTTCATGGTCTTATCACTTTTATTAACCCTGAACTGCTGAAAGAAATTCTAAAAATTCTGTCAAAAATAAAATGATGAGTTTTTATTGGGCATAATTCTCTGAACAGGAACAACAGCTCATTAGATGTTACCACTGATACAAGAAAGAAGGGGAGAAACAAGCTATGAAGACAAAAGGTGAGAACCTAGTAGACCTGAGTTTGGTGATGTTGCTGGGGAATTGCTCCCTAACCTGATGGTAATGGATATTCCAAAAAATCCACTCCCATCTTAGCTAGATTTGAGGCTCTTTTCATATACATCACAGAAAGCAGATCCCTGTCAACTTGGTCAGAACTGCTTAATCTTAAGCCACTGCTCCACAGAGCTAGAATGTGCTAGGAAAAATTAGGCAAATGTAACATCAACATAAAAACTGAAACCTGATAGTTTCCAGTGACCTCTGTACTCAATCCCGTTTCACACAAAGATAATTAAATTCCTAATATACTGACCTGGTAATAGGGCTTGTACCATTGCTTCAAATCCCAATCCCAAAGTATCATCTGTAAAGATTTAAAAGAAGAAGAAATAAAGAATGAGTAATAGGTGATATGCCAATGTTGAAAAACAGCAATAGAATAAATCTTGATTATGGGATGTAAGAAAAAAATGTTTCTCCCTGCATGTTTTTATATGTAACTTGGGCCATTTTCTCAGTCAGTGTTACCCAGTAAAAGCCCTCGAGTTTGAAGAAATTGCAAGCAACAAATGCAGCTTCATGACAGAGTAATTATATGACCTTATTTTGGTATTTCTGGATTGTTGATAAACCACTTAACCTGTACACTAACTTAGGTGCTGACGCTGCTTTCCTCAACATGTTCACCTCAACATACAAAAGCAAATCTAACCTAAAACCTCCAATACATTTTTTTTGCTTTCCAGAACCATTCAAACAGTAGCAATTTTGCAAATACAGTGCAAAAAGCACTACATCATTTGCTTTTTAAAAAGTCAAAGAGCTCCCGGATAGGTTAAAAACTGGTCATTTGAAAAGCATATTCTTGCAGGAGGTTTTGTTAGGTTTGCTTGAACATGGTTACAAAGCTCCAAGTTCTGAATAACTCCACAAACCCCACCAAACCCACAAAAGAACGTCAGCAACACAATCTGAAGATACTATCAGCTTCAAGTACGTCAACAGCACTCACTTAATTTGCCTTCTATACTGACAAAAAATGAAAACAACATACAAGAAATTAAATTCAGATGTCTGTTTTGTTTCAAAAGGTTTCTGTCTTCATGACTTCTTGACAGGTTCTAACTGTTTTCTGGTAAATGAATTCGTTAGCACAACGTGCATTCACAAATTTAACAAATATAAAGATAGCCCTTTTTGTCCTCTTTTTCATAGCTACAGAGCACAAATAAAGTGCTAATGCCCCACTTGCTAGTTCATATTCTGCAGCCTTGGAAGCTTTTTTGCGTATTTTTATGGTTGAGAACTATGTATGTTTTCGTTCCTCTGTAACTAACAGCTCTCTCGTGGAGCAAACAGTGTTCCAGTCTGGCACTTGTCCAGCAGAAGGTGCAGAAAGCATTGATAAAGAAACACAGGTACCCAGGCAAGGGCATCACTTAAACCATGTTCAAAGTTAATAGCTGTGACATTCACTTGCTATGGGAAGTGAAGAGATCTCTCATTAAACATGTGCTTGAACTGGGAGTAAATTGTGCCCTATCAGAAAGTCAGACTGGGTAAAGCAGGCAGATCAAAATTAAGTATTTGAGGGGTTTGGGGTTTTTTAAGGAATTCATCTAGTTACCATGGATTTTTGTTTGTTTGTGTGGTTTTGTTTTGCTTTGGTTTGTTTATGACATGACTGTCCCTTTGTCGCTGGCAAGAATTAAGATATTGAGCACCATTATCTGACCATACCCATGTTGTGTGATGCATTTGGTTTTAGCAACTAACTAAAATGAGTTGTTCCTCTGAGCAAGCTGAGGGATTTGTTTATTTGTATGGGGGTTTTAGTTCCTTCATTCTGAGGTTTTTCTTTCTAGATCTACATTTATTTACTATATCGAACATCAGGAAATCTTTTGGTTTCATTCTCTCCTCCTAAGCTCTCACAGAGAAGCTGCATTAATCTGCTTCATTAACTTTTGACTCAATCAGCAGCAGAGATCAGCAGTCCACAGGAGTTTTGTTAGTTGTATTTGTAACCTTTGATACCTAATGGGCCACAGAGTTGCGTCAGCTTGCTAGCAATCCTGCAACCTCCGTTAGGGGATAGAAAAGAGGTTACCCTCTTCTAATATTTTGTTTTTCTTTTAAATATGTTATATGTTAGCTATTTTTTTAATTTGTTGTAAATGGGATGTTAATTAAAAACCCCAAATATCTTGCTAACTCCAGAACATTTTTATACCAAACCTTTAACTGAAACTGCTTTGGTGCCTTTATTCATACTTTAAGCCATTGGGAGCTTCTGTGTACATGAATGCATACACACACATGTTCATATAAGCTATAATTTTGGGGATCAATCTTTATGACTAAAAAACCTTCCAAACCTTTCTTTTAGCTTTATCTCTGATATAGTTAAAAAAAAATAGTAAAAGGGTCAAACCTGTTCAATGGAAAGTGCTATTGCTCTATCTTGTGTCTATCCTATGCTGACCCAGTATAAGCAAGACAGAATAAACTTCCAGTCTACTTGCAATGCACATAATGGCTTGATATTTTAAATGGCAGGGCACTATTTTTTACACAATTTTATTTAAGTGAAAAAATTCACAGCTTGTATTCATCATTGCAAATTTTCTGTTGCCATTTAAACCAGAAGATTCAAGCTTCGCCACTGATACTAATTTTACAGCAAAGAAACTAAAACAGTTTTGAAATAAACAGAACATACGTTTACCTGTACTTTGCTAACAGATTTGTCTTTAATTCACTACACATATCTCTTTGCTAGAAGTCCTGTCTTCTGAAGGAAGACAAGTGTAGTATATTCACACAGTCAGCAGGCTACCACAGCCTGTTAAACTTTCAGGGCTCATTTCACATGCTACACACCGATGTAATTAAAATGAGCTGATGAAAATTTTAGGCACAGAGTAGCAAGCTCTTCTGCTAAGCACAACGGGGAAAAAAAATCCAGGTCGCTAAACAAGGAATAGTTTCCCGTGGTAAAAAACACCTGGTACAACTGTACACTGAGCACATCCTTACAGGTTACTAGGGAACTTTCAGGGCTCATTTCACATGCTACACACCGATGTAATTAAAATGAGCTGATGAAAATTTTAGGCACAGAGTAGCAAGCTCTTCTGCTAAGCACAACGGGGAAAAAAAATCCAGGTCGCTAAACAAGGAATAGTTTCCCGTGGTAAAAAACACCTGGTACAACTGTACACTGAGCACATCCTTACAGGTTACTAGGGTAGGGAGGCGCTTACCGCGCACCACAAGATGGCACTCAAATCCAGAAAGCCTCCACCACAAAAACCATTTCGGGAGAAAGGAACAGAAACCAGCAGCATATTCCTTAACAGACCTTCTGCAGCCCTGACATGGTTTGAAGGACAAGGAGGGTGACAGTTTTAAAGGTTAACAGCTGATTAATTCTGCTTGTGGGCCAAGAAACCTACTCTGTTTAAAGAATTTACTCTTTACCACTAACTATGGAAACTGTGCTTTGCCTCTCCCTACCTACCAGACTCAGGTTAACTAAACTAAGTCCATGCCTTGCAAGTTAAATCCGGAATACTAAACAAGCACATTTCGGGCATTATTTTTTGTTGAGAGTTTGCAAGTCAAAGATTTAATTAATTACTGTGGACCATCAACAGAAACTATAAAGTATTCCCAGAGTTAAATTAATTTTACAACAGGAGTAAAAAGGATACAGTTCATTTTGACTTAATGTGAACACACCAACAAACCTTAAAATAGGTCTTAGGCAGAGCCTCAGCAATTTTTGATTTTGCAACCGTGAGACTTATTGCAGAAAGATCTGTACTCTGTAATACTAAGATTTTGTAATCCATTGCACATAACATTCTTCCTCGCTTCCTCCATCAAGAAACACCTTATCGAGGAGGGACTTCAGTCATAAAAGTTCCAAGCTGCAACTTAAACCTCTGCTCAACAACTCACACACTTTGTTGTTGAGCATCGTTGAGCATCCATTTTTCACACATTTGGGAGCTTCTCTGAAAATAAAACTGCAGTGGGCTCTGATATTGAGGGTGAACTTCTGAAAGCTGAGAAATATATAGCCCTTCCCACTCAGAACCATCTATACCAAATTAACAGTCAGCTTGGAGGAGAAGTTCTCATAACAGCCTGATAACCACAGAGTCTTCCTAGTTCATCCAAAGAGCCATGAACATACTTACCTGGTTTTATATAATTGCTTGTCAAGCTAATCAGTGTTTTGATGGACAGCTAAGAAAAAAAACAACAAAACAAAACAAAAAAACCACCCCAGGCATAACACTATACCTTGGTCATTAACAGTCAGGGAGTGTATTATTTTTAACTATAATAGCTGAATCTATTTGGCCTCTGAAATTAATTTCAACACAGTTAAAAGAAGACTAGCCATCTTACAAAACCCCTTCAAGTTGACACACACTGTTGGCTCAATATGAGCCAACAGTGTGCACAGGTGGCCAAGAAGGCAAATGGCATCTTGGCCTGGATCAAGAAGAGTGTGTCCAGCAGGACCAGGGCAGTGATCATCCCCCTGGACTGGTGAGGTCACACTGCGAGTGCTGTGCTCAGTTTTGGGCCCCTCACTTTCAAAAGGACATTGAGGCTCTGGAGCAAGTCCAGCCAAGGGCAACGAGGTCAGAAAAGGTCTAGAACACATGAGGAAGGGCTCAAGGAGTTGGGTTTGTTTAGCCTTGAGAAGAGGCTCAGGGGTGACCTCATGGCTCTCTGCAACTACCTGAAAGGGATATTCTCCACAGACTTGCTGTTCTGAAGAATGAACATTGTATTTAGTACTATGGATGTTTGGTCAAATCTAAGGAGATTTTGAATACATAACACTTATGGATATATGCAGGAAAATTGCCAGTAGGCATCAGATATTGCCCTTTGCTTATGTTTTGTCAAATAACAAAAACAATATTTCCACAGACTCTGGAGGAATTGCCATGCTATTTGAACACAAGAATATTGACCTAACTATTACCAAAACCTTGGGATGGCACTTTTGCAGGGCACACATTGTTAGCAACAGCAGCAGCATGTTAAAACAGTACTCACAGTAACAGCAACAGAGGCTGCCCCTAATCCAGTTTATAGTTCAAAGAGGCAACAGGAACAAAGCGAAATTAATCTTTGCAAAGAAGAAGGGAAGAAGTGCTCCTCTGAGGAGTTTATAGTCTATATAAACAAAACCAGATGAGAAATGGAACAAGACAGTCAATGGAAACCGGCAGGGCTTCAGGGTTTTTTGGTTTTAATTATTTTTCTATAGAAAAAGTTATCTTTTCTATCACGGTGCAGCCAGTGGTTCCAGGGCCTGCAACACATGTGTCTTTC